CCAGAGAGCTCTTCATCAGCCACAAGACATCATCCAACCCAGCACTGCCCCTCCCAGCCAGGAACTCCAGAACCACCCATCCTAGGCCAGCAAAGCAGGCCGGCCACACTCACAGTCCACTCGGAGCTCAGCCTTGGTGGAGGACACACCCATGCTGTTCTCAGCCAGGCAGCGGTAGACACCCATGTCTGCAGGCACCACAGCTGTGATGATGAGCTGGTGGCCGCCCTGTTGGTCATCACTGATCATGTAGTGGTCATCCTCCTCCAGGATCCTCCCATCTTTGAACCAGCGCACGCTGGGCACGGGCTGGCCTGTCACCACACAGTCGAAGCTCACAGGGTACCCGTCCAGCACCTCCTGATTCTGCAACTCAGTCAGGAACACTGGGGCTGGGAGGGACAGGTAGGGTGTGCAAGTCAGTAGCAGCCCCCGTGCCCAACCACCTGGGCTGCAGCGGTGCACACGGGTGACCCACAAGGCCCCCATTCAAGGGAGAGCACGCACAGACTAAGCGGCTAAACAGCACTGTCTCTGCTCTCTGAGCTCTTCCCTCCTCCCCATTCTCTAGCCCAGTGGCCGGCAAACTCATTTGTCAACAGAACCAAATTTCAACAGTAAATTGAAATTTCTCTTGAGAGCCAAATTTTTTAAACTTAAACTATATAGGTAGGTACATTGTTATTAACGTAATTAGGGTACTCCTAAGGCTTAGGAAGAGCCACACCCAAGGGACCCAAGAGCCACATGTGGCTCACGAGCTGCAGTTTGCCGACCATGGCTCTAGGGGAATCCTCCCTTTGTCAGCCTGGCTCCCAAGCCACCCTGTGGCCAGGGACAGCAGACAGGAGGCATGGAGGAGGGGAAGTGGAGAGAGGATCAAGGCATTATGGCTGGGAGTCCAGGGTTGAGGCCTCGTGCTCAGAATGGAGAGGGAAATTTTCAAGGCACAACACTGTGGGTTAAGGACACCTTTTCTGCCATTTCTAGGGACATACAAGTAAACAGTGATGTGGCTTTTTAATTAATTTTTGTTGCTGGAGCAGGAAATGGGGTGCAGACCGTACCACATGGAACCCCACCTTTTATACAGGTTGCATCTCAAACCCTCATGGAGAAAAAAAAACAAACAGAAGTCAGCATTCCGATAGCCAGTGCACAAATGAGAACGCTGAAGCTCTGACAATAACAGGCAGAACCGGGTGGAGATGGAGCTCCATCCACCACAAACTTGGGTTCTGCCAACCTCAGTGGGCGGCATCTGCCAAGAGCCAGAAGCTGGGACCCAGCCAACTCCTTGACCTCTCAGCTGACCCTGGTCACGCACCAGCCTCTCCTCTCCTCTCCCGCCCCATCCCACTCCAGGCGGCTCACAGACTCACCAGCCTCTGTGGTCCGCAAGCTGGGCACTGGCTCCAAAGGCACTGCGGGGGCAAGAGCCACCTTGGCGATGCGTATCTCCACCCCCCGGGGTCCCTGCTCCAACAGGCTGATGTCCACCCCAATGCCTAGCATCTTGAACATCTCCTGGAAGTGGGTGGCCGCCCGACGGGCCTCAGGCAATGCCTCAAAGCGGATGCAAACCAAGTGCTCATCCTCGCGGTACGTCTGCCAGTCCCCAGGCTCCTCAGGCTCCCCTGAGCCCTCATCGGCACTCAAGAAGATCTCCTCCTCCGAAACCTCAGCTGAGCCCTTGGTGCGGAAGAGGCGGTGCAGCCGCCGGGCTGCCCGGCGAAAGGCGTCATCCACTTCTCCACCAGAGGAGCTCTCTGCCTCGCTCTCCGTCCCGCTGACAGCCACGTGGGCACTGTGGACCGTACAGCCAAACTTGCTGCTCACCTGGCAGGTGTAGCAGCCCGCATCAGCATGGCCCACGCCAGCGACCAGCAGAGAACAGGTGCCATCCCTGAGCTGGTCAATGTGGTGGTGCCTGCCATCCGTCAGCTCCACTCCATCCTTCAGCCAACGAGCTTGCACGTCTGCCTTGCTGGACACCACACACTCTAGACGTAAGGTGTCCCCAACCTGTGCCTCAGTGTCTCCAAATGTGCTCCGGAACACGGGCCCCTCCTGCTGCCTCATCTCCTTCCGCACCTTGTAACCCTTAAAGGCAGCCTGGATCTTCATGGCTGCCTTGTCCAGCGATGGGTCACTGAGGTCCTCAATACTCAGGTCTCCTGGTGGCGGGCACACTGTGGTTGGCTGTTTCTGCTGCTTCTGCAGCTTTCCAGAAGGGACTGCTGGAGCCCCAACCTGTGTGCACAGATAGGGTAGGGAAACCAAGGCCTGGGTCAGGGAAAGGATGGGCAGGGGCCTCCGGAGAAGGCTGGCGGCAGAACCCGGTCTGATCCCAGCGCCAGCAGGCCACTCTGTCTCCGCTGCTGGCAGCGGCACTACCTTGGACAGATAAGTGGTTAGGTGGATGGCAGATGGATGAATAAATGTATGTATGCATGGATGGATGGATGGATGGATGGATAAATGGGTGGTATAGATCTATGGACAGTGAGTAAATGGATGGATGGTTGAATGGTGGATGGGTGGGCAGATGGGTGAAATGTGTGGATAGATGGTGATAAATGGAGGTGCATGGATGGATGGGTTGGTGGTGGTAGATGCATGAATGGATAAGTGGATGGCTGTTGGATGGATAAATGGATGATGACGGATGGATGGACAAAGGTTTACTGAATGGATGGGTCGGTGGATGGTGAATGGGTGAATAAGATGATGCGTGGATGGACAATGAGTGGTAAAGATCTGAGACAGCCAAGCCTCCCTTGCAGGCCACGATGGAGGCTCACCTTACTGGCCAGTGGAAAGGTGCCAGGCTTCCCAACCTTCTTGAGATAGGTGACCAGGGAAGGAGTGCCTGCTCGGGACTCGTCGTCAGAGCTGGTGTGTGAGAGGTCGGCCTCACCAGTGCGTGCCAGTTCATCAGCTGTGGAGTAGTCCTCAGATAGGTCAGGGGCCAGGTCCTCTGCCTCCTGCCGGAGGCGCTGCAGGCGCCCGTCCTCCTCAGGCAGCTCGCTGATGGAGTCCAGTGTGGGCTCACGGCTCATGCGGCGCTTTCGAGCCAGGGCCTCCCACAGCAGGTGCAGGTCACCCTCCTGGGCCGCCTCAGGAGGCAGGCTGGGCTGTGCAGGGACCTCATCTCTGGATCCTGGTGTCAGCACCACTGTGGGCAGCAGGAGACTGGTCAGCCAGGTGGGAACTGGGCTGCCGACTGTGGTTCCCCTCAATAGGCCTCTGCTGTCCACCTGGGCTTCTGGAGAGCTCTGATCGCACAGCCTTTACACGGTTTCAGAGGCTCCAAACCACTTTCCTTGGGCCTCAACTTCCCCTGCTCAGGCCTCAGTCCTCAGAGTGCGGGGGGTGATGCTCAGAGGTCATGGGGAGGTTCACATGCAGTGGGGAGGAGACACAGCGCAGGGGGACTCAGAGCACAGGAGCCTGAGGACTTAAGGGACCAGCAGTGAGTATCAAGCACTGTGATGGCCAGGATCACATTCAGGGAAGGGGTGCAGCCTAAGACGCCAGAGATATGGTCTCGGACTTGAGACTGAGTCATGCAGGGTCTGTGCGTCTCCCCAGGAAGCCTCAGTTTCCCTTGGTGTGAGGCAAACTCCCCAAGTGGACCCCTTGCTGTGGAGGTCCCCCCCACCCCAGGGTTTCCCCCAACTTCTCCACTCCCGCATGCTGGGCCCTGGAGGACGCACCCTGGAAGGCCACGGCAGCAGCAGAGATGGGATCCCTGGCAGGGCTGCAGCGGTACTCGCCCTGGTCCTCTGCTGAGAAGTCCCGAATCACCAGCGTCTGTCGCCCACTCTGGCAAAGAACCTGGAAGCGGCCCCCGGGCTGGATGCGCTCCGTTCCCTTCAGCCAGACAACCTCTCCAGCCTCCACCACCTCACAATCCAGGCGCAAATCCTGGCCGGCCGCCACCTGCCGGCTCTCCAGAGCTAGGGGCGCAGGCGCAGGTCCCAGGGGCTCTGCTGAGGATGCGCACATCAGTAAGGACATGCCGACCTTCTTCTGGTTTAAGGAGGCCGAGTGCTCCAGGCTGGACCCCCCACCCTTATCCGCCAGGACCAGGGCAGCAACCTACCGAGCCTCACTGTCTGGGGCAGGTGCACGGGCTCTCCAGCGCCTGCAGGGCCTACAGCCGCCACGCGGAAGCGGTAGGTCTCCCCAGGGGCCAGGCCATCCACAACGCACTCCGGCTCGGACACCAGTTCGTGGCACAGCTGCCACTCCCCAGTGGCCGATGGTTTCATCTCCACCCGGTAGCCACAGAGACCGCCACCGCCATCGCTTGTCGGGGCCACCCAAGACAGCGTCACGGAGTGGTCACTGCGCCCCACCACCTCGGCGTCCTCCGGGGGATCCGGGAGGCCTGCAGGGGAGGGCGGTCAATTTGGTATCCATTTTCTTATATGGGGCACAGCCCCTCTGCCCTAGGGTCTGATTCTGGGGTGCAGTGAGGGCTCGGACAGATCACCCCCCAGGCCTGTGAGCAGCAGGTGCCTGGGCTCCTGTCTCCGTGAGCGAGGGTTGTGCGCCTGGGTGTGGGGACACGGAGAGCTTGCAGTAGCTTCTGGAGCTGGAACCTCCACCCCTACCCACCCATGGGAGAGTCCAGCACCCAAGCCACCCACCCAGCACGGTGAGCTGCGCAGAGGCCACGGCATCGCGGGCAGCAAAGGTGACTTCGCCGGCGTGGTGCGGCCGGGCGCGGCGCAGCAGCAGCGTGTGGTGGCTGCCATCTGCAGTCACCATCCAGTCCACGTCGTCAGGCTGCACTGCAGTCCCGTTGATGTACCAGGTTGCCTCGCCCACAGGCACCACCTCACTGAGCGTGCAGCTGAAGTGGGCCTGCCTTCCTGCCCCCACGGCCACATCCCGCGGGGGCTCCAGGACTTCCAGGCGCCAGCCTGAGGGTGGGGCCAAGGTGTGAGCTCGGGACCAGGATGGTGGCCTCTTGGTGCTGGGAGACCTTTCCCCCTCACCCCTCCCTCTACCTCTGAGCCCAGCTACCCAGTCGTGGCCCAGCTCGGGTGGGGAGGAGTCTTAGAGATCTGATCTCTGAGATCATTGTTCTCCAAATTCGAAGCCTCAGGTGGGATGGAGCCTCAGAGGCCACCAGCCCCCCTTAACAGCCCTCCCCACTCTGCCCACCCTCCCCCCATGAAGGCAGTATCCTGTGGAAGGGGTCTGAGAGACCCACGCCCCCTGTGGCCACCAGTTCTCCTTGCACCCTGGCATCTGGTGGGAAGGGGTCTCAGAGACCCATGGCCACACCCCTACCTTATAGTGGGAAGGGTCTGAGGGACCTGCCCAACCTGCAGGCCCAGCTCAACCCTTCCTCATCCCTTCAGCAGAGTATCCAGTGGGAAGGGTGGCAGAGACCGCCCCCCCCCCCAACCCGCACACCCACCTCTGACGGTAAGGAACGCTGAGGTCACCACATCCCCGGCCAGGAAGGTCACCCGGCAGCTGTCCTGAGGCCGCAGGTTTTTGAGCAGCAGCAGGTGCCGCAGACCATTCTCGAAGTAGACCACCTCGGCGTTCTCCGAGCTGAGCACGGGCTGGTCATCCAGCAGCCAGGTGTGCGCAGCCACCTCTGGCCGGGACAGCTGGCACTCAAATAGCGCTTCACCCCCCTCGGGCACCTCCACGCTTTCCAGGCCACGCACCACTGTATTCTTGGCTGGGGGATGGAGGGATGACTCAGGGCTTGGGAGCCCTTACTGCCCAGGCCACATAGAAATGCCCCCCATGACATAGGGCCAAACAGCGGGCCACCAGGAGGGAGACCAGTGATGTCCACGTGGAGCCTTCACGCATGTCCTCCCAAGGCCCTGCCCACCTCCACACCATCACCACACTAGAGTCAGGATGGGGGTCTTCCCCACCTCACAGGTGAGAAGCCTCACAGGTGCTGCCACCCTTGCCCTGGCTGCAGGTGGGGCTCTACTTGTCCCCCTTTCCTCTGTCTCCAGGCCAGTGCTATCAGACCTGCTGGGCTGCTACTCTCACTCGCTGGGACCAGAGAGACCTCTGCCCATATTCCCCAGCCCTCTCTGGTTCTCTCCTAAAAAGTCCGAGAGTCTATAATAAATGGCCATGCGTTTTCCATGGAGGCCATGAACTCAGTGCCTGACTGTGAGGCTTGCCACCTTCAGCACCGTTTTCAGGACAGGCATCCAGCCAAGAGGAGTGACAAGAGGGGACACTGCAATAGGGATGAAGGAGGGATGCATGGGGGACAGTGGGGAGTCGGGCCAGTGGGGTGAAGGATGCAAGGGGCCAGGTGGTGAGATCAGGCAGGAGAGGAGCTTCAGGTGACCCAGGGCTGGCCTGGATGCTAGGAACGGTCTGAGTTTGACCCAAATGACAGCAAGGAGCCACTGCAGTCACTGAGCTGGTGGTCCGAGCCCACAGCCCCAACTGCTGTCTGGATACGTGCCCCAGACTGAACCCACACACAGCCAGGATGTACCCTCCCAGTTTGGTTAGAGGCCAGGCCCATGCCATAGGCAAGGGTGTCTGCTGTGGACAGGGGCCCAGGAAATGAAGTGGGGAGGGTGTTTCAAAACAGAGGACCTGCTGGGCTACCCACATCCCTCTCCCACTGCTTTCCCACAACAGAGTAGACTCCCCCTTGGCCCAGCCCCTCTCCTCCCGTTAGAGCTGACAGGGACTTAGGCGTCTGACTCCATTCTGCTGGGTGGCATGATCGGGGCCAGCTGACTGAGACAGGAGGGCTGGGGAGCAAGGGGGAGGCAGTGAAGTCACTGCTGGAGCTCACCCTTACTTCCTACCCAAGGATGTCACCAAAGTGTTAGATAAACACCCAGATTTTAAAGCAGCAGCAAGCCCCCTCGCGCCTACTGTCCCCACTTCCTTACTCTGCTCCTTCTCCAGCCTGTGGCTGAAGCCTCTACCCAGATGTCCATGAGCCCCAGACCCACCCCCCAGGCCAGGGACACACTGCTCCAATCACATTTCCAATGAGGATGTCAGGGGTGCTGCCGTGAATGGAGGGAGTTTTGTCTGTTCCCTGATGTGCTCTCAGGTGCCCAAAAAAGTGTTTACAAAATTTAGTTGTTGAACAAATGAGGGAATGGGGTGGCGGGGAGGTGGGGGAGACCTCGTGTGGCCTGTGGGAGACTGGTCTCACCTGCTCACACCTGCTACCCAGCTTGGATGGCCCGGACAACTGTCTCCACTCTCCAGCTCACTCAACACCAGGGACAGTCCAGATTTTCCCAAAGATCAAGTGGCTTCAGCCAAACCATGCTCCCTTCCACACAGTGAGGCAGCCCACTGTCCCCTGCTCCTGGTTCCCCAACAGCATATCCTTTCAAGGACATGGGGCTTGGTGCACCATCCAAGCAACAGCCTGGGAAGGGGCAGAGCTGGGATCTGAGCCCAGGATGTGGGGACAGAGCCCCACGTAGAGCCCTGCGGAGGGTCCTGCGGCCCCAGGCCTGCTTGCTCACCTGCCCAGAGGCTGCTTCCTTGCCTGCCTCTACCTCCCCAGTGTTTTGGATGCAGAGTCTTTTAGGTGTAGTCTCTGCCCAGGGTCTGTCCAGCCACCCTGTGTTCTCAGGCTGCTTTAGGAGGGGTGGGGTCTGGATGGGTGGGCTCAGGGCGCTTCAG